ACCCCCCATGTCACCTCTCCGAGCTCGGTCTCCACGGTGACATCCCCCCAATGTCCATTCAGACCCCTGTGACCCCCCATGTCCCCAAGCCCCCCATGACCCCCAATGTCCCCAAGCCCCCCGTGACCCCCCATGTCACCTCTCCCAGCTCGGTCTCCACGGTGACGCTCCCCCCTTGTCTCTCCACCACGCGGCCCCGCACGAACTCGTGTCCCGGGTGGGGGACGAAGCACTCGGCGCGGGGGTCGAAGGGACGCGTGGTGGCCGCCAGGCGCTCGCGCTCGCCCGGCCGCAGGAACGGCGCCGCCGCGCCCAGAGCCGCCAGCACCGCGTCCGCCATCTGTCCTGGGGGACAGTGTCACCTGGGGGTGGGGACAGACCCTCACCCACCCCATAGACCCCCCCACAGTCATCAATGGGTCACCATGGTCATTGATTGACCCCCACGGCCATCCCTGACCCCACAATGTCACCATCCGCGTCCGCCGTCTGTCCTGGGGGTCAGTGTCACCTGGGGCGTGGGGACAGACCCTCACCCACCCACTGACCCCATACACCCCCCCCCACAGTCATCAATGGGCCACCATGGCCATTGATTGATCCCCATGGTCATTGATTGACCCCCACGGCCATCCCTGACCCCACAATGTCACCAGCACCGCGTCCGCCATCTGTCCTGGGGGACGGTGTCACCTGGGGGGTGGGGACAGACCCTCACCCACCCACTGACCCTCGATGGACCCCCATGGTCACTGATTGACCCCTGTGGTCACTGATTGACCCCTGTGGTCATCCATGGGGTGCCAGGGCTATCCCTGACCCCCCAGTGACATTGACACCATGTCCACCATCTGCCCCACAGGGAGGATGTCACCTGGAGGGGATGGGGACGGGGACAGACCCCTGCCCACAGCCCCAGGATGGACCCCCCAGTGCCACCAGCACCGTGTCCACCCTCTGCCCCACAGGGACCCCATCACCGGGGGGACAGGGAGGGGACGGGGAGGGGACTAGACCCCGATGGCCATCCCCCCCCCCCCCAAGCCCCCTGGCTGCCCCCCAGCGCCGGCCTCACCTGGAGTCTGTAGGTCCGGTGGGTTGGATGGAGGGATCTGTGGGGACACAGGTAAGGGGCTGCACCCCATAGACCCCTCTGCCCCCTCCCAGAACCCATGCACCCCATAGCCCACCCTACGTGCCCCATGGGCCCACTGTGACCCTCCAGTAACGGACATGCTGCCCCATAGACCCTCCTTGTGCCCCACAAGCCACCCCATGACCCATAGAAACACTGAGCCCTGTAACCCACCCCGCTGTGGCCCCATAGAACCCACAGCGTTTCCACGTACCCTCATGTACCCCACAGACCCCTGTGCACCCCACAAATCCCCTGTGCCCCACAGATCCTATAGGCTTCCCGTGTGCCCCACATATCCCCTGCGTGATCCACAACCCGCCCTATAACCCACCAAACGCTGGCTGCCCCATAGACCCCACAGCCTCCCCATACACCCCCTGTGCCCACCCCACATGCTCCCCACAGCCTCGCCCCCCACCCTCTGTCTCTGCCCCACAGCAGCACCTTTGGCAGCCCCGCGGCCCCACAGCTTTTATAGGGCGCGGTGGGGGGAGGGGGCAGGGGGAGGAGCAGTGGGGAGGGGAGGGGGGCTGATAAAGGAAGGGGAGGGGGCGGCCCCACACTTCCCCCTCCCCCCCGTGATGTCTCAGTGGTGCTGAAGGGTCTGAGCCCCCTGTGCTCACCCCATAGCATGAGCTGTGGGGCAGACCCGGGGGTTTCCAGGTTTGGGGTGGTTCTATAGGGCAGAGCCAGACCGGTCCCATTTGGGGGAGTCTGTGGGGCAGGGATGGGAGGGGGGGTCCTTACTGTTCATGGGGCAGGGACATGGGGTCTGTCTGGGGGTTCTATGGGGCAGGGACAGGGGGTCTGTCTGGGGGTTCTATGGGGCACGGACATGGGGTGTCTAGGGGATTCTATGGGGCTGGGACATGGGGTCTGTCTGGGGGGTTCTATGGGGCAGGGTCTGGGGGTTCCCATTTGGGGCGTTTTATGGGGGGTCCCATATGTGGGGGGGTCTGTGGGGCAGGGCCTGGCAGAGCCCATTTAGGGTTGTCTATGGGACAGGAGATCCCTTACTTAGGGGGTGTCTATGGGGCAGGAACAGGAGGGTCCCATTTGGGGCATTCTATGGGGCAGGAACAGGGGGGCTCCCCTATTTGAGGGTTTCTCTAGGGCAGGGACGGGGGGGGGGTCTCTGTTTGGGGGTCGCCTGTGGGGCAGGGACAGGGGTGTCCCCCATCTAGGGCATTCTATGGGGCACGGATGGGGTCCCCATTATCCCATATGGGGCAGGGACAGGGGTGTCCCCCATCTAGGGCATTCTATGGGGCACGGACGGGGTCCCCATTGTCCCATGTGGGGCAGGGACAGGGGTGTCCTTTTGGGGCATTCTATGGGGCACGGACGGGTCCCCATTGTCCCATGTGGGGCAGGCACAGGGCCCCATTTCGGGTCTGGGGGCAGGACGCGGGTCCCCATTGTCCCATATGGGGCAGGCACAGGGGTTTGTCCCATATGGGGCAGGGACGGGGCCCCATTTCAGGTCTGGGGGGCAGGACGGGGGTCCCCATTGTCCCATATGGGGCAGGCACAGGGGTTTGTCCCATGTGGGGCAGGCACAGGGCCCATTTCGGGTCTGGGGGGCAGGACGGGGGTCCCCATTGTCCCATGTGGGGCAGCACAGGCCCCATTTCGGGTCTGGGGGGCAGGACGGGGGTCTCTGGCCAATGTCCCCACACCGGGGGGTGGTGACAGCCCGTCCCTGTCGCTGCTATATCGGGACATGATGGGGCCCTTATCTCGCCCCTCTCGCGGCGCTGTGGGGCCGCCGTGGGGCCGCCGTGGGGCCGCCGTGGGGCCGGGGGGGTCTGGCAGCTGTCCCGGACACGGCTCCACTTTGTCATCGCCGCGGTGACAAAGTGTCCTCGCGAGGTGACAAATTCCTGCGGGCGGGGGCACCGCCACGCCGGGCCCCATAGAGGGGCCTGGGCCCATAGAAACCCCCCAGCCCATAGAAACTCCCCGTGTCCCATAGGGACCCTCCCCTGCCCCATAGAGACCCCCCTGCCCCATAGAGACCCCCCGTGCACCATAGAGACCCCCCGTGCCCCATAGACACCCCCTGCCCCATAGACACCCCCGTGCCCCATAGGGACCCTTCCCTGTCCCATAGACACCCCCCTGCCCCATAGACACCCCCCTGCCCCATAGGGACCCCCCTGCCCCATAGAGACCCCCCGTGCCCCATAGAGACCCTCCCCTTCCTCATAGAGGGACAGAGGGACATTGGGGTGGGACAGAGGGACATTGGGGTGGTGGGGCAGAGGGACACTGGGGTGGGACATTGGGGTGGTGGGACATGCTGGGACATTGGGGGGGGACAGAGGGACATTGGGGTGGGACAGCTTTACTGGGGGGGTCACAGCTCTACTGGGGGGCCATACTGGGAGGGGTCATGGCCATACTGGGGGGTCACGGCTGTACTGGGGGGTCACGGCTGTACTGGGGGGGTCACGGCTGTACTGGGGGGTCCATACTGGGAGGGGTCACGGCTGTACTGGGAGGGGTCACAGCTGTACTGGGGGGGGTCACAGCTGTACTGGGAGGGGTCAGGGCTGTACTGGGGAGCCATACTGGGAGGGGTCATGGCTGTACTGGGGGGTCACGGCTGTACTGGGGGGGGTCACGGCTGTACTGGGGGGGTCACGGCTGTACTGGGGGGGTCACGGCTGTACTGGGGGGCTCATACTGGGAGGGGTCATGGCTGTACTGGGGGGGTCAGGGCTGTCCTGGGGGGGGGTCACGGCTGTACTGGGGGGGTCAGGGCTGTACTGGGGGCTCATACTGGGAGGGGTCACGGCTGTACTGGGGGGGTCAGGGCTGTACTGGGGAGCCATACTGGGAGGGGTCACAGCGGTACTGGGGGGTCACGGCTGTACTGGGGGGGTCACGGCTGTACTGGGGAGCCATACTGGGAGGGGTCATGGCTGTACTGGGGGGGTCACGGCTGTACTGGGAGGGGTCACGGCTGTACTGGGGGGGTCACGGCTGTACTGGGGGTCCATACTGGGAGGGGTCACAGCCGCACGGGGTTGGGGGGGGTCACGGCGCTTTTCCTTTCGCTTTTGGCCGCGCTCCTCCTTTCGGCTCTGGAGGCGACAACGCGGCCGGGGACCGACACCGAGGTCACCTGGGGGGTCCCGGGGGGTGGCCGGGGGCTGTCCCCTTCCCTGTCCCCTTCCCTGTCCCCTTCCCTGTCCCCTTCCCTGTCCCCTTCCCTGTCACCCCCTGCCCCAGGTGGGGGCTCAGACGGGGCAGGAGGTGACAGGGGGTGACAGGAGGTGACAGGGGGTGACAGGGGGTGACAGGGGGTGACAGGGGGTGACACGGACCGAGGTGCGGTGGTGCGGGGGAGAGGGGGGACACGGACCCGACCCCACCCCCCGTGAATCCGCTGGCTCCGGTGAGAGGGGACGGGGAAGGGGACGGGGACAGCTCGGGGCACCCCTGGCCGTGTCACCTCCGCGGGGGTGGCACCTGGGCAGGTGAGGGGGTGCGGGCGAAGCGAGAGAGATGGCGCGAGTGCCACGGCGGCGACACAGGTGCCACCGCCACTCCTGTGCCACCACCGCCCCCCCTCCTCCTTGGGGCTACCGGGAGAACCGGTCTGGCCGCACCTGCGGGTCACCTGCGGCCGCGGTTCGGTGGCCACCGGCCCCCGCGGTGGCCCCGGCGCCGTGTCCGGGGGTGGCACCGGCCACGCAGCGGGACAGGAACGCGCCGGGCGGCGCCGCGGTGACCGCGACCGGCGGATGTTTGTGCGGCCCCGCAGCCTCCGGTGGCAGCGGCGCTGGGCCCGGCGGGGCGGTGGCCCCCGGTGGCCCCCGGTACCCCCGGTAGCCCCCGGTAGCCCCCGGTGGCCATGAGCGGCGGCGGGGGCCACCCCGGGCAGGTGGCGGTGGCCATGGCGGCGTGCGGAGGTGAGGGACAAGGGGCGGCGACAAGTGGCACTGGCGGGGAACTGGGAACTGGGACTGGGAACTGGGACTGGGACTGGGAACTGGGACTGGGAACTGGGACTGGGACTGGGACTGGGACTGGGAACTGGGACTGGGACTGGGACTGGGAACTGGGACTGGGACTGGGAACTGGGAACTGGGAACTGGGAACTGGGATGGGCTCGGAGCTGGCACAGGTGGCCCAGACCCTGCCCAGCCCGCGGGCCACCACAAGGGCCACAGCAGGGAGGGCTTGGTCGCCACACCCGGGAGAACGCGGCCCCGGGGACAATGCCGGGGACACTGCCAGCACCGCGGGGACAATGCTGGTGACACCGGGCCTGCACCGCGGGGACGATGCCAATGTCACCGGGCCAGCACGGGCCATGTGCCACTGCTCCCAGTACTGGGACAGAGTCCAGTGGCACCCCTGGGCTGATGGGTGGGCACTGGGGACACTGGGACCCCTCTGGGTGGGCACTGGGGACACTGGGGACACTGGCAGTGACCCCTTGGATGGGGACACTGGGGACACTGGGACCCCTTGGATGGACACTGGGGACACTGGGGACACTGGGACCCCTCTGTGTGGGCACTGGGGACACTGGCAGTGACCCCTTGGATGGGCACTGGGGACACTGGGACCCCTCTGGGTGGGCACTGGGGACACTGGGACCCCTCTGGGTGGGCACTGGGGACACTGGGGACACTGGGACCCCTCTGGGTGGGCACTGGGGACACTGGGGACACTGGGACCCCTCTGGGTGGGCACTGGGGACACTGGGGACAGCCCCCGCAGGCTCCGGTGACACAAATTCTGCCCCGTGGGTGTCGGGGCTGTCCCGTGGCCGGAGGTGCCACACCTGGCCTGAGTCACCTGTGGCACGTGCCAGCCCTGCCACCCACGGCACCGAGGGATGAGCTGGGGCTGGGGGGACCCCTGGGGGTAACCCAGTGACCCCAGTATGGCCATCAACCCCAGTATGGCCATCATCCTCAGTGTCCCATCAACCCCAGTATGGCCATCAACCCCAGTATGGCCATCATCCCCAGTGTCCCACCATTCCCAGTGTCCCAGTGACCCCAGTATGGCCATCAACCCCAGTATGGCCATCATCCCCAGTGTCCCCAGTGCCCCCAGTGTCCCATCATCCCCAGTAACCCCAGTGTCCCATCAACCCCAATATGGCCATCATCCCCAGTATGGTCATCATCCCCAGTGTCCCAGTGACCCCAGTACCCCATCATCCCCAGTGCCCCCAGTGTCCCCAGTGACCCCAGTGTCCCATCATTCCCAGTGTCCCATCATCCCCAGTATGGTCATCATCCCCAGTAACCCCAGTGACCCCAGTGACCCCAGTGTCCCATCATCCCCAGTGTCCCAGTGACCCCAGTGTGCCCAGCATCCCCAGTGCCCCCAGTGTCCCCAGTGTCCCCAGTGCCCCCAGCATTCCCAGTGACTTCAGTGTCCCCAGTACCCCATCATCCCCAGTAACCCCAGTGTCCCAGTGACCCCAGTGTCCCATCATCCCCAGTGTCCCAGTGACCCCAGTATGGCCATCATCCCCAGTGTCCCATCATCCCCAGTATGGCCATCAACCCCAGTATGGCCATCATCCCCAGTATGGCCATCAACTCCAGTATGGCCATCAACCCCAGTGTCCCATCAACCCCAGTATGGCCATCAACCCCAGTATGGTCATCATCCCCAGTAACCCCAGCATCCCCAGTGTCCCATCATCCCCAGTAACCCCAGTGTCCCCAGTGTCCCGGTGACCCCAGTGACCCCAGTGTCCCCAGTGACCCCAGTATGGCCATCAACCCCAGTGTCCCATCAACCCCAGTGTCCCCAGCATTCCCAGTGACTCCAGTGTCCCCAGTACCCCATCATCCCCAGTAACCCCAGTGCCCCCAGTGCCCCCAGTGCCCCCAGTGCCCCCATTATCCCCAGTGACCCCAGCATTCCCAGTGTCCCCAGCATTCCCAGGACTTCAGTGTCCCCAGTACCCCATCATCCCCAGTTACCCCAGCGTCCCCAGTGACCCCAGTGTCCCATCATTCCCAGTGTCCCCATCATCCCCAGTATGGCCATCATCCCCAGTGTCCCAGTGACCCCAGTGTCCCATCATCCCCAGTATGGCCATCAACCCCAGTGTCCCAGCGACCCCAGTGTCCCAGTGACCCCAGTGTCCCAGTGACCCCAGTGTCCCATCATTCCCAGTGTCCCCATCATCTCCAGCATTCCCAGTGCCCCCATTATCCCCAGTGTCCCCAGTGTCCCCAGGACTCACAGTGCCCCCAGTGTGCCCAGTGTCTCCAGCATTCCCAGTGACTCCAGTGCCCCCAATGTCCCCAGCGTTCCCAGTGCCCCCAGTGTCCCCAGTGCCCCCAGTGCCCCCAGTGCCCCCAGTACCCCCAGTGCCCCCAGTGTCCAGCACATCCCATGCTGGGATTGGGCAGCTGCAGAGTCAGGCAGAGTTAGCAGATCCGGGAGAACTGGGGCAGGAGTCAGGCAGGAGTCACCGGCCCAGGTGGGGTGTCACCTGAACAGGTGAGGTTTCACTGGCCCAGGTGAAGGGTCACCTGCCCAGGTGAGGTGCCACTGGCCCAGGTGAGGGGTCACCGGCCCAGGTGAGGTTTCACTGGCCCAGGTGGGGTGTCACCTGCCCAGGTGAGGTTTCACTGGCCCAGGTGAAGGGTCACCGGCCCAGGTGAGGTGCCACTGGCCCAGGTGAGGTGTCACCTGCCCAGGTGCAGTGTCACCTGCCCAGGTGAGGTGTCACCGGCTGTGCAGTGTCCAGCCCCGGGGGCTCGGAGCTGCCAGGAACCTGTTGGGCCAGCCTGGCCAGACAGGACTCACCTGGCCGGGCTCAGGGGCCTCACCTGGCCGGGCTCATCCTGAGCTCATCCACCAGGACTCACCTGGACAAGGGGAGGGACCAGGACTCACCTGGATAAGGGGAGGGCCCGGGACTCACCTGGCCGGGCTCATCCACAGGACTCACCTGGACAAGGGGAGGGTGGGACTCACCTGGACAAGGGGAGAGGTCAGGACTCACCTGGACAAGGGGAGGGGCCGGGACTCACCTGGCCGGGCTCATCCGTCAGGACTCACCTGGACAAGGGGAGGGGTCAGGACTCACCTGGACAAGGGGAGGGGCCGGGACTCACCTGGCCGGGCTCACCCTGTGCTGGGTGCCGCTGGCCCCTGACTCCCCCTGAGCCCCGGGACAGGTGAGGGGGCGGCTGTGGGGGCACCTGGGGGCGCGGGTGGCCACTGCCGGGCCCCGGGACCACCGGGCAGGAGAGACGGGAGCGGAGCGGCCCCGCCCGGCTGAACCCACCTGAGGTGGCCTCGGGGCTCCCGCGGGGACATCGGGACGGGGTCACTGCCCGTCACCCCCGCTGCTGCTTCCCGGACAGGGGGAGGGTCCCGGGAATGGTCCTGGATCCCAGGAATGGTTCCGGATCCCGGGGATGGTCCTGGATCCCGGGAATGGTCCTGGATCCCGGGGATGGTCCTGGATCCCGGGGATGGTCCCGGATCCCGGGAATGGTCCTGGATCCCAGGGATGGTCTTGGACCCCGGGAATGGTCCTGGATCCCGGGAATGGTCCCGGATCTCGGGGGAGGGTCCCGGATCCCGGGGATGGTCCTGGATCCCGGAGGAGGGTCCCGGATCCCGGGGATGGTCCCGGCTGCCGGGGAGGCGGGGGACGGTCCGGGCGAGGACATTCCCACGGTGGCAGCTGGACGCGGGGGCGGGCAGCTGTGGCCGGGGACATTCCCACGGTGGCCGGGATGGGCCCCGCTCCGGCCACGCGAGTTTCCCACGGGGACAGGGACGTGGGGCAGGGGTCCGGAGTGGGGAGAGGTCTCACTCTGGCCACAGGAGTTTCCCACACTGACCAGGACTCCCGGGGAGGGGTCACACCCGAATTTCCCACGGTGGCACGCGGGCACGGAGGGTCCTGCTCCATCCGGGGACATTCTCCCCCGCAGGTGACAGGCAGGGACATGGCCGGGGTCCCTCCCCACTCACGGGGGTCTCGTCCCGCAGGTTGTGCCCACTGTGCCCGGGCCTCCGAACTGGACCGGGGGGACTGCCAGGACACGCCGATGCCGTGGCCGTCGGCTCTGCCGGACAGGCCCTTCCCCAGCCGGGCCCCGGCGGCGGTGGCCGCGGTGGCCGAGGCGCTGCTGGCCCCCGGGTTCTGGGCTCTGGACCGGCTGCTGGCCCTGCGGCCCACCACGGCCCAGCGGGCGCGCTGGCGGCGGCACCGGGCCGGCCGCTGCCTGGCCGTGGGCGCGCGGGCGCTGGCGGCACCGGCGCTGCTGCTGGCGCTGCTGCTGGCGCTGCCGCCGGCGCTCCTGGGGCTGCTGCTGTGGCTCCCGGCGCAGGCCAAGCGCCGGCCCTTCGTCTACCAGCACGCGGCCACCGCGCCCGCGCCCGAGCCCTGGGACCCGCGGCGCGCCCGCGGCTTCACCTTCCTGACCGCCAACCTGTGCCTGCTGCCCAGCGGCCTGGCCCGCTTCAGCAACCTGGGCGGCACGCGGCAGCGCGCGGCGCTCATCGCCCGGCTCCTGGCGCCCGGCGCGCCGGCGGAACCTTCCGGGCACCGCCACGGGCTGCTGGAGCCGCGGCGCGGCCGGGACGGCGGCTACGGGGGCACGCTCAGCACCGCGGCTCGGGGGCACCCGGGCGGCGATTCCAGGGTGGACACGTGGGTGGTGGCCAGTCCGGCAGCAGCGGTGGACGGCACGGTGCCGTGGATGGAGATGCCAATGGCCAGCCCAACACCGATGGCCAATCCAACACCGATGGTCAATCCAACACTGATGGCCAGCCCAACACCGATGGCCAATCCAACACCGATGGCCAATCCAACACCGATGACCAACTCAACACCAATGACCAACCCAACCGTGATGATCAACTCAACATTGATGACCAACTCAACACCGATGACCAACTCAACACTGATGGCCAACCCAACACCAATGACCAACTCAACATTGATGACCAACTCAACACTGATGACCAACTCAACACTGATGACCAACCCAACAGCGATGAACAACCCTTGGCCAAGCGTTGACTCAGTGCCAACACTGGAGTTGCCAATCACCAACCCAACCCTGGGACCTGCTCCATCACCAATGACCAACCCGGGGCCGGAGCGGCCGATCCCGCTGCCCGACCCGATGCCCCCGGTGCTGACCGCCCACATCCCGCCGGACACCGACTTCGTGTGCCTGCAGGAGGTGTTCGATGCCACCGCGGCCACCACCCTGCGCCGGCAGCTGGGCCGGCGCTTCCCGCACGTGCTGTGGGGCGTGGGCCCGGGGGGGCTGCGCTGCGGCCGGCTGCGCGTGCTGGGCAGCGGCCTGGTCCTGGGCAGCCGCTTCCCGCTGCTGGCCGCCCGCTTCCACCCCTTCCCCAACGGCGCCCACGAGGACGCGCTGGCCAACAAGGGGCTGCTGGTGGCACAGGTGAGGGGACACCTGGGGGGGCACGGGAGTGACACATGGCTGAGGTGACATGTGGCTGGTGTCCCCCACAGGTGCTGTTGGGGACGGGGCAGGGCCGGCGCGTCGTGGGTTACCTGGGCTGCACCCACCTGCAGGCGCCCGCGGGTGAGTGGGGACACGGTGATGGCGGAGGGGGTGACACTGGGGGGTGACACTGGGGGGTGACACTGGGGGCTCTCGGGGTGTTGGGTCTGTGTGGTGTTGTCCAGTTGTTTCCGGGTGTCTGTGTCCACTTGTGTCCATCTGCCCATGTGTGTGTCCACATGCCCATGTCTGTCACTCTGAGTCCCCCTGTACCTGTCCCCATGTCCATGTCCATGTCCCCATGTCCCATGTCCCTGTACCTTTCCCCATGTCCATGTCCCTATGTCCATGTCCACATGTCCATGTCCATGTCCCCATATCCATGTCCATGTCCCTGTGTCTGTCCCTGTCCCCATGTCCATGTCCCCATGTCCATGTCCATGTCCCCATGTCCACGTCCCCATGTCCCATGTCCCTGTCCCAGTGTCTGTACCTGTCCCCATGTCCACGTCCCCATGCCCCATGACCATGTGTCCCTGTCCCTGTCCCTGTCGCAGCCGATGGCCCCATCCGTGACGTGCAGCTGTCCCTGGTGCTCCGGTGGCTCCGGGAGTTCCGGCGGGAGCAGGAACGGCCGAGGGACCTGGTGGCCTTCGATGTCCTCTGCGGGGACCTCAACTTCGACAACTGCTCCCGGGGTGGGGACAGGGGACACGGGGGGATGTGGGGGGCAGAGGTGTGGGACACGGGAGGGGGACAGGGGACACGGGGGGACACGGGGGGGACATGGTGGGGACATGAGGGAATAAGAAGGGACACGGGGGACATGGGGTGGTCACAGGGGGCACTTGGGGGGACTGGGGGACATGGAGGGGACACATTGGGGGAACACATCAGGGGACATGAGGATATGGAGAGACACAGAAGCACAGGGGGGACACAGGGGGACATGGGGGTGACAGCAGCGCCGTGTCCCCCACAGGTGACGCCAAGAACCAGGAGCACCCCCTGTTCAAGGAGTTCTGGGACCCCGCGCGCTGCGAGTCGGGCCAGGAACAGCCCTGGGCCATCGGTGGGGACACCACTGTCACTTCCCCAGGGACCCCAGTGGCACCCCCTGACCGGGGACCCCAGTGTTGCCTCTGCCTGGGGACCTCGCTGTCACTTCCCCAGGGACCCCACTGTCATCTCCTGAAGCCCCCACTGTCACCTTCCCATGTCTGGGGACCCGTACATGTCCCTGTCCCTGTCCCCTCCCCGTGTCCAGAATCCCACTCACTCCCTGTCCCCTCCTGTCCCCTCCCCGTGCCCAGGGCCACTCTCACTCTGTCCCCTTCTGTCCCTTTCCTGTCCCTTCCTGTCCCCTCCTGTCCCCTCCCCGTGCCCAGGGTCACTCTCACTCTGTCCCCTCCTGTCCCCTCCCCGTGCCCAGGGTCACTCTCACTCTGTCCCCTCCTGTCCCCAGGGACGCTGCTCAACTGGCTCAAGATCTACGAGGAGCCCGTGTCCACCCCTGAGAAGATGAGGAGGTGACAATGGGGACACTGGGGACACAGGGGGGCACAGGGGTGGGGGGACAGTGGGGACACAGGGGGACAAGAAGGGTCCAGCTGACCCATCAGCCTGGAGGGGTGGGGGGTCCTCCATCCCCCGTGTCCCACGGTGTCCCTGTGTCACTGTCCCCGTGTTCCCGTGTCACCCTGTCCCTGTGTCCTGCTGTCTCTGTGTGTTTCCATGTCCCTGTGTCCCCATCACTCCATCCCACTCTGTCCCACTGTGTCCCCATGCCCTCGTGTCCCACTGTGTCCCCATGCCCCCATGTCCCTCTGTCCCTGTGTCACTCTGTCCCCACGTCCCGTGTCCGTGTCCCGCAGGATGCTGTCCCGTTGTGTCCCTGTGTCCCCATGTCCCCACATCCCCACATCCCATGTCCCTGTCCCTCAGGACGCTGTCCCGTTGTGTCCGGCTGTGTCCGGCCATGTCCCCATGTCCCCGTGTCCCCATGTCCCCACATCCTGTGTCGTGTCCTGCAGGACGCTATCCCATTGTGTCCAGCCGTGTCCCCGTGTCCTGTCCTGTCCCCATGTCCCCATGTCCCGTGTCCCTGTCCCTGTCCCGCAGGACGCTGTCCCATTGTGTCCCCATGTCCCCGTGTCCCTGTCCCGTCCCGCAGGACGCTGTCGCAGCCCGTGGGACGCTGTCCCGTCGTGTCCCCATGTCCCCATGTCCCCATGTCCCCACGTCCCCACGTCCCCATGTCCCCATGTCCCATGTCCCCATGTCCCCATGTCCCCATGTCCCATGTCCCCATGTCCCCATGTCCCCATGTCCCCGTCCCGCAGGACGCTGTCGCAGCCCGAGGGACGCTGTCCCGTTGTGTCCCCACATCCCGTGTCCCTGTCCCCATCCCACAGGACGCTGTCCCATTGTGTCCCCATGTCCCCATCCCGCAGGACGCTGTCGCAGCCCGTGGGACGCTGTCCCATTGTGTCCCCATGTCCCCATGTCCCCATGTCCCCATGTCCCCATGTCCCCATGTCCCCATGTCCCATCGTGCAGGACGCTGTCCCGTTGTGTCCCCATGTCCCCATGTCCCCATGTCCCTGTCCCCATCCCGCAGGACGCTGTCGCAGCCCGTGGGACACTGTCCCGTTGTGTCCCCATGTCCCCATGTCCCCATGTCCCCATGTCCCCATGTCCCCATGTCCCACCCCGCAGGACGCTGTCGCAGCCCGAGGGACGCGAGCGGTTCCTGGCGGGTCCCATCCTGTCCTGTGGGGCGCTGGACCCGCGGGCGCCGCGGCCGTGGCGGGGCCGGAGGGTGGACAGGGTGCTGCTGCGGAGGGACCCCGCGCTGGCCACCGTGAGTGACCCCCAATGAACCCCCACTGACCCCTGTGACCCCGTGCTGGCCACCGTGAGTGACCCCCGGGACCCCCAGTGACCCCTGGGACCCCCCCAATGAACCCCCGGGACCCCCAGTGACCCCTGTGACCCCCAGTAACCCCTGTGACCCCGCGCTGGCCACCGTGAGTGACACCCAGTGACCCCCAGTGACCCCCGGGACCCCCAATGACCCCCTGTGACCCCTGTGACCCCGCGCTGGCCAGCGTGAGTGACCCCCGGGACCCCCGGGACCCCCCAATGAACCCCCTGGGACCCCTGTGACCCCGCGCTGGCCAGCGTGAGTGACCCCCGGGACCCCCTGTGACCCCTGTGACCCCCTGTGACCCCTGTGACCCCTGTGACCCCGCACTGGCCACCGTGAGTGACCCCGGGGACCCCCGGGACCCCCCACTGACCCCCAGGACCCCCAATGACCCCCTGTGACCCCGCACTGGCCACCGTGAGTGACCACGGGACCCCCGGGACCCCCAATGAACCCCCAGTGACCCCCTGGGACCCCGCGCTGGCCACCATGAATGACCACTGGGACCTGGGACCCCCAGTGACCCCCAGTGACCCCCGCTGTCCCCACAGGAGGTCACCGGCTACTCGGTCATCACCCAGCTGGCCACACTGTCTGACCACCTGCCCGTGGCCCTGCGGCTGCGCCTGGGGCCCGCTGACCTCTGACCCCGCACGGACACGGGGCCGGACACAGCTCGGACCTGAGCGTGGCCACGAACTGGACACAGCACCGGTCACTGCTGTGACCCCGGTGTGACCTCGGTGTGACCATGGCTCCGGACACAGCACTGGTCACCGCTGTGACCCCAGCGTGACCTCGGTGTGACCTCAGTGTGACCGTGGCTCCGGACACAGCACCGGTCACTGCACTGACCCTGGTGTGACCTCGGTGTGACCTCGGTGTGACCATGGCTCCGGACACTGCACCGGTCACTGCAGTGACCCCGGTGTGACCTCGGTGTGACCCCAGGGTGACCGTGGCTCTGGACACAGCACCGGTCACTGCAGTGACCCCGGTGTGACCCCGGTGTGACCTCGGTGTGACCATGGCTCCGGACACAGCACCGGTCACTGCTCCGGACACAGCACCGGTCACTGCTCCGGACACAGCACCGGTCACTGCTGTGACCTCGGTGTGACCTCGGTGTGACCTCGGTGTGACCATGGCACCGGTCACTGCTGTGACCTCGGTGTGACCTCGGTGTGACCATGGCACCGGTCACTGCTGTGACCTCGGTGTGACCTCGGTGTGACCATGGCTCCGGTCACAGCACCGGTCACTGCTGTGACCCCGGCGTGACCCCAGCGTGACCCCGGGGTGACCATGACCCCGGCGTGACCCCGGTGTGACCCCGGGACCCGGCCGTGTCCCCACAGGTGTCACTGACCAGGCTGACCCTGGGGATGATCAATAGCGGCATTGATCCGGTATTGGGGCTGGATCGGTGCAGCATTGATCCGGTATTGGTCTGGTATTGATCCCGTATCGGGGCAGGATCAGTGCAGGATTGATCCAGCATTGATCTGGTATTGATCTCGTATCAGGGCAGAATTGGTGCAGCATTGATCCCGTATCGGGGCAGGATCAGTGCAGTAATGATCCAGCATTGATCCAGTATTGATCAGGTATTGATCCACTATTGGGGCAGGGTTGGTGCAGTATTGATCCAGCATTGATCTGGTATCAGGGCAGGATCAGTTCTGTACCAATGCAGGCATTGATCCAATATCAGTTCAGGACAGGTGCAGCATTGATCCACTATTGGGGCAGGATTGGTGCAGTATTGATCCAGCATTGATCTGGTATCAGGGCAGGATCAGTTCTGTACCGATGCAGGCATTGATCCAGCTTTGATCAGTCCAGGATAGGTCCAGCATTGATCCGGTATCAATCCAGCATTGATCTGTCATCGGTTCAGAAAGGATCCATCACTGATCATCTGGCATCGATCCAGCATCAATAATGCAGCATTGATCCATCGCCAGTCCAGCATCAATCCAGTATTGATCCGATATCGATCAGGCATTGATCCAGCTTTATTCCAGCATCACTTCGCTATTGATCTGACATCCCAAGACCAGCATTGATCCAGCACTGATTGGGCATTAATCCAGCATGGATTGGGCATTAGTCTGGCATTGATCCGGCATTGATCAGGCATTGATCCAGCACTGACTCAGTATTGATCCGGCATTGATCCAGCACTGATCCAGCACTGACTCAGTATTGATCTGGCATTGATCCAGCACTGATCCAGCACTGACTCAGTATTGATCTGGCATTGATCCAGCACTGACTCAGTATTGATCCGGCATTGATCCTGCTCCAAAGGCTCCTGGAGAAGGAATTGAATGGCTTCACCTCAAGCCGGGGTCTGAATCCTCCTGTAACATTGATCCGGCATTGGCTCAGTATTGATCCGGCATTGGCTCCGTATCAATCCAGCATTAAACCAGCATTGATCCAGCACTGGCACAGTATCAATCCATTATTGGCTCGGTATCGATCCAGCACTCATCCATCATCAATCTGGCATTAGCTCAGTATAGATCCGACACTGACTCAGTATTGATCCGGCATTGGCTCTGTATCAGTCCAGCATTGGCCGTCATTGATCCAGCATTGATATGGTATTGATCTAACATTGATCTCGTATTGATCCAGCATCAGTCTGTATTGATCCAGTATTGATCCATCATTGATCCAGCACTGACCCATCAGTCTGGCATTGATCCATTGTTGATCTGGTATTGATCCAATACTGATCTGGCACTGACCCAGCATTGGTCTGGTATTGATCCAATATTGATCCGGTATTGATCCAGCATTGATCTGGCCTCCATCCAGAATTGATCTGGCACTGACCCAGCATTGGTCTGGTATTGATCTGGCATTAATCCAGCATTGATCTGGTATTGATCCAATATTGATCTGGTATTGATCCAGCATTGATCTGGCCTCCATCCAGTATTGATCCAGCCTCTCTCCGGCGGGGCTGGCACAGCCCCCGTGGCACAGGGGGGTTCTCCCCATCCCCAGAGTCTGGGGTCGGTGTCCCCCCCCGGATTTGTGGGGCAGAGCCCTGGGGGGCTCCGTGGGGCTGGGGGGGGGTCCCTGGGGGTCCCGGTCCTCCCCAAGACACCAGACAGGAGTTGGGGGGCACAGGAAGTTTATTGGGGGGGGGGACTGGGGGGGACCCCCAAAGTGGGGAGCTGGGCCCCCCATGGAGGGGCTGAGCTGGGGGGAAGGCTGCCCCATGGAGGGCTGGGGGCTGCCCCATGTAGGGCTGGGGGCTGCCCCATGGAGGGTTGGGGGCTGCCCTATGGGCTGTGCGTATCTAAAGGGGGGGGCTGCCCCATAGCAGGTCAGGAGCTGCCCCATAGAGGGTGTGCATAGCTGGAGTGGGTGGGGGGCTGCCCCATAGCAGAGTTAGGGGGCTGCCCTATGGACTGTGCGTGTCTAAAGTTAGGGGGCTGCCCCATAGCGGGGTCAGGAGCTGCCCCATAGCAGGTGCATAGATGGGATTGGGGACAGCCCCATAGCGGAGTTAGGGGGGTGCCCTATGGACTGTGCGTATCTAAAGGGGGGCTGCCCCATAGCGGGGTTAAAGGGCTGCCCCATAGGAGGTGCATAGATGGGATCAGGGGCTGCCCCATAGCAGGGATGGGGGCTGCCCCATAGAGGGGGTGCATAGCTGGAGTGGGTGGGGGGCTGCCCCATAGCAGAGTTAGGGGGCTGCCCTATGGACTGTGCGTGTCTAAAGGGTCGGTTACCCCACACAGGGGTTTGGGAGGGGCTGCCCCATAGCAGCGTTAGGGGGCTGCCCCATAGCAGGGTTTGGGGCTGCTTCACATTGGGGTCAGGGGCTGCCTCATAGGGGGGCTGGGGGCTGCCCCATAACTGGCTTGGAGGCTGCCCCACAGCGGTTTGGGGTCACACAGCAGGTTTGGGGTCACACAGCGGGTTTGGGGTCACACAGTGGTGTGGTGTGGGGCTGCCCCACAGAGTGTGGGGTCACACGGCAGATTTGGGGCTGCCCCACAGCGGTGTGGGGCTGCCCCACAGAGTGTGGGGTCACACGGCCTCCTGCGCCTGGCGGAACTCGAAGTCGCCGCCGCGCTCCAGGACGGTTTGTGGGGTCGGGGGGCCCGGGGGGCCGCCGGGGTTTTGGGGGCGCAGCGAGTTCTGGGGGGCCCAGAGGTCCTGGGGGTCCGGGGGCTCCGGGGGGCCCGGGGGGTCACCCCCATCCTCGGGGGGGCCGAAGCCGCCCCCGCCCGGGGTCAGCAGGCAGAAAATGTCCTGTGGGGAGAGAGGTTTGGGGTCAGGTTTGGGTTGGGGGTTTGGGGTTTGGGGTCGGGTTTGGGTTTGGGGTTTGGGGTCAGGTTTGGGGTCAGGTTTGGGGTTTGGGGTCGGGTTTGGGGTTTGGGGTCCGATTTGGGGTTTGGGGTCAGGGTTTGGGGTCAGGATAAGGATCAGGGTTTGGGGTCAGGGTTTGGGGTGATTTGGGGAATTTTGGGGTGGTTTTGTGGTGGTTTTTGCAATGATTTTGGGGTGTGTTTGGGGCGGTTTTTGGGGTGGTTTCGGGGCAGTTTTTGGGGTTTTTGCTCACCTCCGGCTCCACGCCGACTGAGCTCTTGCCCCCCAGGTTGATGGGGTTTTGGGGTGGTTTTGGGGCGGTTTTTGGGTGGGTTTGGGGAGGTTTCAGGGCAGTTTTTGGGGTGGGTTTGGGGAGGTTTCAGGGCAGTTTTTTGGGTGGGTTTGGGGCAGTTTCAGGGCAGGTTTTGGGGTGGTTTTGGGGCAGTTTCAGGGCAGTTTTTGGGGTGATTTTGGGGCAGTTTTTTGGGCAGTTTTTGGGGTGGGTTTGGGGCAGTTTCAGGGCAGTTTTTGGGGTGGTTTTGGGGCAGTTTTGGGGCAGTTTCAGGGCAATTTTTGGGGTGATATTGGGGCGGTTTTGGGGCAGTTGTTAAGGCAGTTTTTGGGGTGATTTTGGGGCGGTTTTGGGGCAGTTTTTGGGGTGGGTTTGGGGCAGTTTCAGGGCAGTTTTTGGGGTGATTTTGGGGTTTTGCTCACCCCCGGCTCCACGCTGACCGAGCTCTTGCCCCCCAGGTTGATGAGGCGCCCGTCCCGCCGCAGCAGCAGGTTCAGCCCCGGGGCCCCCGGGAGACCCCCTGGGAAAGAGGGGGGTCAGGGGGGTCAGGGGGGTCAGGGGGGCCGGGGGGGATTTGGGGGGATTTTTTTGGGATTTTTGGGGGGATTTTTTGGGATTTTTTTGGGATTTTTGGGGGATTTTGGGGGATTTTGGGGGATTTTTAGGGGGATTTTGGGGGGATTTCGGGGGGATTTTGGGGATTTTGGGGTCTCACCCGCCATGCCGTAGGGCTGCATGGTGTGGGGAGATTTTGGGGGGTTTTGGGGGGATTTTGAGGGGGATTTTGGGGGGATTTTAGGGGGATTTTGGGGGGGATTTTGGGGGGGAGTTTTGGGGGGGATTTTGGGGGGGATTTTGGGGGGATTTTGGGGGGAGTTTTGGGGGGGATTTTGGGGGGGATTTTGGGGGGATTTTTGGGGGGGATTTGGGGGGGATTTGGGGGATTTTGGGGTCTCACCCGCCATGCCGTAGGGCCGCGTGGCGCTGGGGGATTTTGGGGGGATTTTTGGGGGGATTTTGGGTGGATTTTTGGGGATTTTTTGGGGGGATTTTGGGGG